CCATCAAGGAAGCATCTCTATGTGCCTGCTGACTGGCAATGAGCCCAAACATACAGCCAGAGTCAGAAAGAACAAGAAGAAACAGGAGTCCTGCAGCAGATGGTCCAGCCCCCATAGAGCTCCGATCTTATCATGGAGTCAGTCTGGAATCACATGAAGAGACACAGACACTGAGACAGCCTGAGTCCGCAAAAGAACTGGCAGGTTCTCCATGATGCTGGAACCACTGACCTGCTAAGTAGCTGGAAAAACAGTGTACAGGTTTAAAGGCAGAGGGGCGTGACAGCAAATCTTGATTTGATTTAGATTTTTTACTATTTACTGTATTTTTATGAAATTAGTAAAACTAGTTGTAGCACTATTTTGAAAGCATCCTCATGTTGCTTTTAGTACCTAAAATGTTTGCACAGTTTTGTGTGTGTGTGTGTGTGTGTGTAAATCTGAATGTGTGGCTTTCTCTGAAATCTAGACATGTCTGTGTGGAATACTTGCACATTAATTTCAATTGATATTTCTCTGTGCATTTAGTGTGCTGGGGGATGAGTCTACCAGACTGAGTGCAGTTGAACTGAAGCATTTCATCATCACAGGCCTGAAGAGCCTGCATGGTGAGGTGAGGTCATTGGTCCTCAGTTCAGTTCAGTTCCTGCTGTACACGGTGTGATCTCTGGCACTGAGGCCCTGTGAAAATGGCTGACTAGTTCTGAAAGTAACAAGTTGATCAACATAGTTTTAATGATGAATTCATCTTTTAAGCTTCAAAAAGGAATAGTTTGACATTTTTTGGAAATGCTTTATCAGTGTTCTGGTGGAGAGTCATGAGTTAGCATTCTGTGTTGATTAGTGAGCTTTAAAGGTGCTGGTACTTTCTGCTGGACAGAGCCAGGCTAGCTCTTCCTCCCTGTTTCCAGTCTTTATGCTAAGATAAGCTAACCAGCTGCTGACTGTAGCGTTATCTCCCCATCAGTCTGCACTGACAGCCAGTCATGTTTTGAGAAATGTTTGCAGATTTATTAAACATCATAGAGTGGCGTCAGTGTCATTCATCCCTCATTCAGCAAAATGAAATAAGCTTATTTCTCAAAACGTTGAGGTTTTGCTTAAGGATTTGCTGTTTCTTTGTTAGTTTTTTATGATTATGAGGAAATTGACAAAATTAATTGGCAACTATTTTGCTAATCAGTTAGTTAATTAATCAAGACATTTCTGTGTCTCTGTGCCAACAGCCACAGCCAGAGGCATTATGTTTTTGGGTTGTTTGCCTGCCCTTACGGCCTGTTTTTGTTAATGCTATATATATCTCCTTGAGGGAATTTCTTCCGTTTTGGCACAAGTGTTCACTTGGAGTCAAAGACGAACTGATTAGATTTTGGTGGCCAAAAGTCAAAATGAGTGACCTCACTTCTGTCCTGTACCTGTGAATTTGACTGGTTAGTGAAGCCATAATTCTAGTTCAAGCTAAAGATACCACACATTCCCTTGTTCCATCTGCCCAGTTTTCCTGCTGCTTTTCCTTATGTTGCATTGGAGTTTGGAGTGATGCTCAGACAAAATAAGAATCTTGGTAAAAATCACCTTTGACGATAGGAAACTATGATGGGCATCTTTCACTAATTTCTAACAATCAGAAACAAAAATAATAAGCTGCAGTTATATTTTCTTTGCATTTAAAGAGGTTAAGATTTTGTGTTTGTTTGCAGGATGCCTCCAGAGCTACTTGAGGTGCAGAGGGAATTTTTAAAATGCATTTGTCTCAATTTCCTTCAGGTCGGAGCGGCGTTGCCCTTTGACCTGTTGAAGTATGATGAAGACACCCTCACTGCACTTCTGCGTGTTCACAGCAGGTGAAATCATCAGTAGCAGAAGGATGGGAAGAAAGTTTCCCTACCTGTCATAGGGGACTGATTGACATAGACTAGATGTGTTAATAGTGTGTGTGTTTTCAGAGGCTTGGTGAAGCTGTGGAGCTCCCTGACTCTGCTGGGCTCTTACCAGAGCCAGGCCTGTGCCTTCAGAGTGCTACAGGTCAGCAAACGTAATTTCATTTCTGTTTACAGATTCATTTTGTGACGTGCACAGTGATTTAAGAGAAGTCGCCACAGTCAAATTTCAGATTTTTCTCAGGTATGAATGTAATTTAAGTTAATCCGGTTGACTACAAGATAGCTAAACTAAACGAAATGCAAAATTGATATTCTTTTTAACTGATCATAATCTTGGCTGCCAGCTGAGTCTTTGTAGCTGTGCAGGATCATCCTCTGGAGCACCGATTGTGTGACCTCATCTTTTGTACACAGTAATATTCTCTCAGCTAGTATGTCTTTCTATAGTATACAACAGGAGCGAGTACGCCTCTGCAACATCACTTAAATGCCAAAAATGGTATCCCCTTGCAGAAACTGCATTACTTCTAAGTTGATCAGTCAAAAATGTTTGCTGTTATTTAAAATTTAAACATAACGGTTAAAGTTGACCATATTAAGATTCAAGCCCCACAGTTGGAACTCAATGCAACAAAAGTCAGTACACCTTTCATTATTGAGATTCAACCTTTTATTTTTTCAGTATTTCGTAATTCCACCTTTATATTTGATGACAGACTCAGTCCTTCTTGTCATGGAGTATACCAGTATATTTCTGGAGAGATGGTCTGCTGTTCTTCAGTTTGTTTCAAGTGCTATTGTATAACAAGTAATTAAGTATAGGAGGGAACTGAACATTATTTGGCAAAATTCTACACGATTGCTAATACCTGAGCAAGTTGCTTGCTAAAGAAAACTCACTGTGACCCTGTTAGAGAGCATCATGATGACAAAGTCTTTGTTTCACTTGTAGTTCATAAATATTATTGATCTGTATGCTTCTGTTAGTTTATAGACAGTTGTTATTGGGCTAAAACTAGCTACCTAGCAACTGTAAGAGAAGAACAAAAAGTTCGCTGCTGTTCTGTGGGTTTCAGTTGCTACCAAGTAGCTTCACATTCAGGGCTTTTCATGTCACCCAGGGAAACTAAGACAGATTCCAATCACATTTGTGATCTGGCTGATGGAGACTCATTTGACTGTCTAAAAAACCATCAAGCTATGAGATAGCTGAAGTGACAAGAGTAAATGTGAACCTTGAATCGGAATATTTGATCACAGATATGTTCCCAAGATCAAGAGCAAACCTCTGCACTTGGAAAGAGAAAAAACATTGCTCATGTTGACAGGTTTGTCTTGTGTTGTCTTCAGGTGTCTCCGTTCCTGCTGGCTCTGACAGGAAACAGTCGAGAGCTGCAGCTGGACGAAGGCAGTGCGTCATCATCTTCAGGATGAGTTTTATATGGAGGAGTGTCTTTAACAAACCCCAACTGTGCCTCTCGTCCATCATACCAGCTCCTCCCTCCTGCCGGCTGCTGCACATTGGCCAGCGAGCCTCCCTCACCAAAGCGTTTTCCTCTCACGATGTGGAGCTGTTTGCTGAGCTGACTGGCGACACCAACCCCTTACACCTGGACCCCACTTACGCTCGCACCACCTCCTTTGAGATGCCCATCGTCCATGGCGTCCTCATCAATGGGCTGATCTCGGCCGTGCTCGGAACCAAGATGCCCGGCCCTGGCTGCATCTTCCTGTACCAGGAAATCCGATTCCCTGCACCGCTGTATGTCGGCGAGGAGGTGTTGGCTGAAGCTGAGGTCCGCAAGATCAAAATGTCATTTGCCTTCATTGCTGTGACGTGCTCAGTCAAGGACAAGGTGGTGATGGAGGGGGAGGTGATGGTGATGATGCCTGAGGAGCAGCAGCAGAGGGAGTAAGGAGGGCGAGAAGGTCATAGCACCTGATGTGACAGTTGAAATGACTAAATATGCTGCAGCACACACATCATGCAAAATGTGTCTCATGAGATAACTTGGTTCAAATTGATTTTCTACTTTCAGCTTTTTTGGATGGAATTTGCTCCATGTTTACTTCATGATGTTAATTTTGCTGTTTTATGCTTGACATCTGACGACAAGTGTTGACCAGAGATGTGTCAGTCTAATTTAATATTTAGTGTATTTAATTTGCTTGCTCTTGCTCTTGCTCTGTTCTGTTTGTGTGAAACCCATAGTGGAGAATAAAAATGCTAATTTAATTTCTTTAGTCCATTCCTTGTCACAGTCTGAGACTAAACAACTTTTATTGCCTTTACTTTGTGGCTTCCATTTTTCTGCTTGAGTAGTTTTTAATTCATGTGTCCACTATGGACCACAGTGGGCCAACAGTCTGCAGGTGTTAGGTTCTACTGATAACATCACCAGGTGATTTCTAGGGCTGCAGCTAATTATTTAAATTGATAAATTTGATATCGATTACAAGAGTCCTGTTTAGTCTATAACATGTAAGAAAAGTATTAAAAATGCCTCTTAGATTTTCCTGAAGCCCCAGCTGATGTCTGATTAAAAAAAGTCAATACATGCTTTAACTTAGTTGATCTTTCCAAAGCTGAACTTGATCATGTGAGGCAGGCCATGAGATGTGGTTCAAAGCTGTTGACACAAGGAGTTGGCTTGACCTTATTTTGAAAATTTTTTTAATATCAAACTTGGTTTTTTTTTTTGTTTTTGTTTTTTTCTTATTATTGTATATTTGAGTGTTTTTGATATACTTTTTTGTTATTTAAATGATTTTACTGCAACTTTTAATATTTTAGTATGCGGGTATGTGTTTTTCATTTTCTTTCAGATTTGTTTTAGTAAGGCTTTTTGCTATTTTATCACAATTTTATTATATTGGTATATATTTTTGGTCAGTTTTAGATTTGTGTTGGTTTGTTTTTGGAGCTTTTTTCTGTTATTTCAATGATTTTTTTTTTTTCTTCCTTGAACTTCCTCTTCCTCCAATAGGAGGCGGTGACGCGACGTCACGTGGTGTTCTAGCCCCCAGCTACAGTCAGTGGCTTCCAGTTAAATCGACAAAACAGCAGATGACGTCTAGTCAGTACAGCGTTTCCTGGTTACGGTAAAGCTAAGCTAACCAGCCAGATTGATTCTCCCGGGTTGTTGGTGTTCTTCCTCAGCTTCCCGGCGATTTCAGTCGGTGATAGATCAGACGTTCACCATTAACCCTCCGAGATGTCGTTCCTGGAGAAGCCGGTCCCCGGCAGGCTGCTACTGTACGATACCGATCCCCTGACGGCGGTGATTGAAGCCAGTCAGAACCTGCAGTCCCACACGGTGAGTGTTTTACTTGAAATAAAGCTCCGTTAATGGTGAACAAGCTGCAGGTTTTGCTGTACTCGGTGAGGTTGTAGCTTTCTGCGGGCTGACAGATGTCTCACTGCTGTACGAGTTTCAGATCTACCTAAATATTTGTCTTTCGCTGCGTCACCGGTTCCATTAGAGGACAGTTGTAAAAGCTTAATTTCATCTTCTTTCCTGTAAATGATTATATGAACCATAAACCACCCTTCGAATACCAGTGTCATCGTAGGTGCAAAGCCATAATCACGGTCCATGTGAGTCAGTTGACAGTGTCTAATAAGGCGCATTAGAGTTGCATCATAACTCCATTACCGGACAAGCAGGCAAGTGAATCCTGGCTTTTAGTGCTGTTACTGATTAAGCAATTTCCCGGAAGCTCTCCTGCATTTAGCAGACTGCTGATATAAAGCAATTTGCTTATTGTTTCATTTTAATACCGACAAAGGAATACGCTATCTAAAGCAAGACGTGTGACCTCTTTGAATTTGTAATGATCTAACATTCGGCATACATCCCCTTCATCAGATATCTCATTAGAATAGTAATTTGTATTGATTTCACCATCGAGTGCTTCCTGCAAAGTTGAAAAACCACTAGTCAATGCGAAATGCTGCTTTCTATAAATTATCCATACCGAATAGAAAGGAGATTGTATCTAAATGTAGGTTTTAAAAGGCATTACTGTAGTTAAACATCCGACGGAAACAAATAGCCTGATGGTAAACGTGTCTGCGAACATCAGACGGAAACAAATAGCCTGATGGTAAACGGAGGTTGTCTTGGCATTCCTCCTGAAGTTAGAACCGAACAGTCTATGTTCAGCTAACTAGATCTGGGTAGCAACGTTTTACTAAGGGTTTACATGACGAAGCGACGTTGAAGCCGAAATCCTCGCAAGCTGTCTTCTGTCCGATAATGGGCCCACGTTTGGTGCGTTTGTTGACAGCAGAAATCACCTGAGCTAGCCAGTTAGCTTAGCATGCTAATCTCAAGCATCCAACCATCATTGGTATAAAGAAAGAACCGTAATCTCATAGGAGACGTTAATACCAGTGGATATGTTCGATAGGTGTGTCTCTATTTACACACTGCGTTACTGTTGTTTTTTCCTTTCGTCCATTAGTCCCGTTTGAAAACAGCCGATTTTCTTTAATTTTGAAAACAACTGTTGTATATTTCCTTGAGGCAGAATGTGTCAGATGATTTTAAAGAATTTCTCGTAATTTAAGCAGATCCAACGTTAAGCCCCTATGTACAGAGACACCCTGCTTTCACAGGACAAAGTTGACTTATTCTTTGAGCTTGCAGTCAAGGACTACTACACATTTCCCTCTGGTTACAGGTCTAATAGATTTTCTGTCCTCCTGTCCTTTTCATAATGAAAGAAGTAAGCACAATGCAGTGTTGTTACATGAAGTAGCAAAAGTATGTTATGTCAAACCTATCCAGACAGAAAGAAAACCCAATTCAATGTCACAGACATAGCCTATTTGGCATTTGTCATAATATAATTTAGTATAAATCCAATACTACATAACCTTGTTTACTCTGTATGTTGTGTGGTTTCCTTCATTTGTCTAGTGGATATAAGGGGTTGTTGAGCCATTTGGACCACCCGCTGCAGGTTTTTCCTGTCTGCCTTGGTGCTACTGCTGTACCAGACTGTACAGCGGTATGTCAGGATGCTCTTTGTCATGCAATGGTAAATGTTTTTAGCAGTTTTTGAGCAGTCTGTTGCCAGGATGCTGAGAAACGAGAGGTGCTTCTAGGCCTTCTAGACCAGGTGTGAAGCGTTCAGGTTCCAGGTCAGGTCCTCAGTTTCATGGACTTCTATAGGAACATGAAACTGAGGACCTGCTCTGCCTCCCCCCTATTGATGCACAGTTGGTTTGTTTTTAGTGGTTCCCAGAAAGATGAAAGATGAGAGTGTGGGTGGATGTCAGTTATGAGGATGTATAACACACAGGCTGCTGCTCTGGATAAAATATTATGGCAGACTGATGACAAATCTCCTCAGTGGATGATGGTATTGAGTTACGGTAGTTAGACAGGAAGGCATGTCAGAACTTCACTTCTTTACACTGAGTGCTGGCTGATTATGAAGCCATGCAGTTCCCAAGTTTTTGTGTGTACAGGATTTTTCTTTTTCTTGTGAAATTTTGACTATCATGGCTTTTTCAAATTAAATATTATTTTTAGTTGTACAACTTAAACATTTTTAAAGTACAGTTTCTTAATTATGTCTTGTAAAACTGAATTTATTTTCTTATTATTGTGACCTTTCTCTCCTAATGGATTTTTTTGCTTTATTTTTATTAAATTGACTTTTTTCTTTGCAGCTGCCCATTATTTTCTACTTAAAGCTTCTTTCCTAACAATATTTCGACTTTAACAATAATGTACACACAACTGGCTCACTGTCGACAGCCCACAGACTAACAGCTATTTTATCTTGTTCTTATTCAGTATGTTTTTCCTCATTGTCTCATTGTTCAAGAAGTTGTTTGCACATTTTATTAATTTCAATAGTTGCAAACATAGTGTTTTGAAGGCCATGGTTTCTCTCTGTCTCTTAGGAGTACATCATCCGAGTCCAGAGGGGCGTGTCCTCAGACAACAGCTGGCAGGTAAATAAACCAATTACAACCTCAGGTGTCAGGTCGGTGAATTCGCCTGTGAGAGAAAATGATGAGTCTGGAAGGCCAATCTGTTTGAGAAGCAGAAATATTGGCTAATGAAGATGTCCAGGCTGGGGGAACAAAGACAAACCGTTTTAATATATTTCAGGGTTTGTGGTTTAATTCTTAATTTCCAGGAAACTGATGTACCCGAATGAGTCAGAGGAACTTAAGTGGAGGAAGAGAGGTTGATATGTTGTGAATACTATTGTGGCTTGGAAGAAATCCCTAACAAAGAAACGACCAAAGAAAAAAAAGCCTAGTATTAATGAATGGATCAACCTTTTGTGCAATATTAATACTTACTGTTTAGAAAGTTTCCAAGTTCCTACATTGTGGATTTTATGTTTAAAAACAAGGATGTGTTATGAGACTAACTGTCCAAGTCACATCACCATTTTGTAACTGATAGGCTTGTTTGTGTGTTTCAGGTGATTCGACGTTACAGCGACTTCGATGTCCTCAACAGCAGCCTGATGGTGAGTTTCTCATCTTTCACTCGTATATCGACTGCTCTGAGTGTTTTAGGACGTGCTGAGCACAGAGATCGATAGCAGAGACACTATTATGATGCATCAATAGCGCTTTGAGAAGTTTCTGTGAACGTTTCAAGCCTCTGTTTAGCTGTTAAAGGAAAAATCTTCAAACTTCTAACATCTGCCTTTAAATGTGACCCAGAAAAGAAAGTGGTTTAACACTGACTGATGACAACAAAGTTGAAGGTCACCTTGTTCCCTTGTGGCGAATGATTTTGTGTTTTCAGTCTTATTACAGCTGCAGAGATTAGTTGATTAATCAGTCGATCAACAGAAAGGTAATCTGCTTCTATTTTAATAATCAAATTATTTTTTCAAAGAAAAACACAAAAGGTTTACTGGTTCAAATCTATCAAGTTTGAAAATGTTTCCTTTTTTGGTCTTATTTTACTGCAGTTTCATATTTTGGGGTTTTTGACCTGTTGGTTTAACATAAATAAGATGTTTGGGTAAGATATTTGTGGATGTCAACTTGAAGTCCAGGATGGGATTCCAGGTTTTTCATCCTTTTCTGATGTTTACTGACCAAATTGTTAATCAGTTAATTGTGATAATAAAAATAATTGTTGGTTATAAATTCAATGTCTAGGTAGGAATGATGAGAAGAGATACTTGAGCTAGAATTGAACTCAATACTTTTTTGGTTTTGTATCAAATTTGTCTGAGCATTACAGACTGTCACGTTCCAGACTGTCACTTTGAGGCACCGCAGAAACCTATGGTGGTCAATTGTGGATTATTTGCTACAACAAAATAGCAGGAGCGTGGTAATGTAAAATCGAAGTGTACAAGTCCTGTGATGGACATTTACATACAAACATCCGCTGCCACGCAAACCAGCTTTGTCTTGGCCAATCTCCTTCCCCTTTTGGAAAGCTCAGTGATGGTTTGTTACAGCATACTCAAGGCTTTGCTGTTGTGTCATCAACTGGTCCTGTGAGAGGGCACTCTGATGACTGTCCCTGTACTGATTAGCTTTTAGGATTGTACTGCAAAATCTCACTGCTTTGCTCCAAGTCTCCCAACTATAATGTCTTCAGAAACTGCTGTGCACTCACTCTGCACCCCGCTTCTAACAACAAGATTGCACCGTGATTAATCTTTTAGCTCCGTGACATATAGTGACACCATGACTGACAATGACAGTGCTAAGATGCTTACGTAACACTGTTTGTGTAAAGTGTTTAACATGTTTGTCACCCAAACTGAGCATGTTAGCATGGTAACATTCACTAATCGTCGCTAAACCGCTGAAACTGATGCGATGTGATTAGAAAATTAAATGATTTGGAAGAATTTCATTTTGACCTATTGAGACACTAAATGACATTTTAGCGGCTCAGTAAGGGTTCATTCTCAGGGAACCATTAATGGAATGTTTGAGCCAGTCCAGCAGGTATATGTTTAGGTATTTAACGGTATACATGCAAAGTTTATCCTGCTAGTGGTGCTAGAGGAAAAGTTAGAGACTCGCCAGAGTTCGTAGGGTTCATCCGTTGGGAGCCGTGAATATCTGACCACAATATCATGACAACCCATCAGTTAGTTGTTGAGATATTTCTGTCTGGATCAAAGTGGTGGATCCTGACAGATGGACATTTTCCAGCCTTACTGCTAACATGGCTCAAAATAACTCTGTAACGTGGAGGCAAGAAAAACAAATCACCTTTCACAAATTATCTTGAAATTTTCTTGTTTTTTAAAATCTGAACTCCCATTACTTTCCACAAAGTAATGATTTTAAATAAAACTGGATCCAAGCAGTGTCCTTGTGGAACTGCAGAGTCATAGAAGCATTCATGGAAAAATACTCTGGGGTCAGCCAGGCAAGAGCTTAATATGGAAAAACCATTACCATCAGGCTCCTTGGTGACAAATCATGTAGTAAAATTGAAGAGCCCAGCCCCGGTGGGTTTCCTCTCATTGACATACCAGTGAAGGGCTAGTAGACCTGCTTTCTCATCTTTTGGTGTGATTTCAGCCCATTTTAAAGCTACGAGCAGGTCCCACTGAGCACGTTTCTTTGATTGACATCCCGTTTAACATGGCTATATTTTAGGTAGTTCACAGAACACCTGTACAAATCTTAACTGGCAGTTACCACCTAACAATGCCACAGATGAAGCGAGAAAAAATGTTTAAAAACTGAGTGATTCTGAAAAATAATGGCCTGAAATCTTTAATCTCTGAAGCTTCACTGTACTAGGCTGCAACCATTCTGACGTTGGGGTCTACTGTATGTCACATGGTCTCAGTTGTGACTTGTATCATTCCTGGATAACA